ATTGATAGAGTAGATAAAATCTTTAAGTTCCTCAGCAGGTGATCTGTTTTCTGGAATAGAATCCCAACATTTTCCGATAATAAATTTGCACCATCCGGGGACATTATTTGGTATCGTAGGTCGTAATCCATTATAGATGTCTAATACGAGATTTCGATCATGACTTCGATCACTAAATGGCGGCTTACCAGTTATAATCTCGTACATAACCATTCCAAAACTATAAATATCTGCCGCCTTAGTGTATGGCTTTCCATTCAACACCTCGGGACTCATATAAGGAAGAACTCCACAAATTTTTTGAGTAGATTTTTGTATATCTGCTTGAATGCTGAGTCCAAAATCAACAATTTGAGGAAATTCTTGATTATTGTTAAAACTAACTGTCCAACTTTTTCATTAATAATATCTTTCCAGGATGAAAGTCACGATGCATAAATTTCTCTTCGTGAATTTTTCCCAGATCATTGATAATCCAATATAAATAGTCTAATTTTTGACCCCAAGTCAATTTTTCGTTGTTGGAATGAATATATTTACGGAGATCACCATCTTCTGCATAATCCATCACTATTGAATATTTGCTTGTAGCTGGGTTTTTAGTTATTCCATAATATTTAATATAATTAAAGTCAGTGCATTTAAGAGCAGTCTGAATCTATTTTTGAATTTTTGAAAATTTGATTTTACTAGAACAAAAAGTAATTTTCACTTTAGAAAACGTTCATTTACCTCGTGTATAAACTCTAGAGTAATTTGTTTTGAATTGTGTAATGATTTCAACGCAACTTTTCTTTCTCCATCTTGTTTAAATTTATTTTCTTCATGATCCCAAGAATATAATGGTCCATCCAACCAGGTCGCTTTATAAAGTGATCCAAAACCTCCTTTTGTAAGATATTCAACCTTGGTGAATCTTTCAAAAGGAATCCATTCGAATATATTTTTATATTTCTTATTAATTTTGTTGCATAGATTGTCGATATCTTTATCCCCGCTAGACAATTCATCGTTATAAATTTGTTTATGATAAAAGAAACATGGCACACAGTTTTTATTTTGTTGGCATTTAATACAATCATGCGATTCCATCACTATAAAATATTCGTTTGTAACTGGGTTTTGAGTTAATCCGGACTCAAAATACCACTCAAATGCTTTTTTCTCATCTTTTTGTGTTCCGATTCCATGTTGATAACACCAACCAAGATTATTTTGTCCCAATGCATCTCCACCCTCTGCTGATTTCAAGTACCACTCAAATGCTTTTTTCTCATCTTTTTGTGTTCCGATTCCTTCATCATAACACCGACCAAGATTATTTTGTCCTGTTACGTCTCCACCCTCTGCTGAATTCAAGTACCATTCAAATGCTTTATTCTCATCTTTTTGTGTTCCGATTCCATGTTGATAACACAAACCGAGATTATTTTGTCCCAATGCATCTCCACTCTCTGCCGATTTCAAGTACCACTCGAATGCTTTTTCTCATCTTTTTGTGTTCCGATTCCTTTTTGATAAAATACACCAAGATTACATTGTCTCCACCCTCTGCTGATTTCAAGTACCACTTAAATGCTTTTTTCTCATCTCTTTGTGTTTCGAATCCTTTTTCATAACACCAACCAAGATTACATTTTCCTCTAGCATTTCCACCCTCTGCTAATTTCAAGTACCGCTCAAATGCTTTTTTCTCATCATGAGTATTTGATTCCATCTTGAGCTCAGTGGAATAAAATGGGTGAATTGGTTAAATAATAGTAAAACAAACGATAATTATCGTTGTTATACAGTTTTGGGATTCATGTACGTGTATGTGTGATTTAAATTCTATGTGTGCTCAACTTTCAGTCAACTTTGACCCATTAGCCTCTTTAATAAAAACGTATAGTTAGGTAGAGTTAATGTATATACGTTACGTAATTTCAACTACGAAAGATTGAAGAAAAAAAATCGGGAATTTGTTTTGGATTATCGATGAATTGAAACAATCCCATCAAGAAGTTCATTATCTTTGATAAATTCTAGAAGGTTGTTGCATATGTCATCATCCAATCAAGACATGCAACTTGTGTAATAATTCATAGCAAATAGGATGATGTATAACTACAGGAATTGATGAACAAGGATGAAATGCTTTTTTATTCGTGTGTGAGAATTATTTAATTCACGTTTTGTAAAAACCTGAAATTTGTAGCGTCGCCGTCGCCGCATAAACCACGGGGTCTGATTCATTCAACCTAAAAAGGAAAAAAAGAGGAAAAAAGGTGGTACGTTTTTGCAGTGATCATTATGGGATTTCATTTATCGGGTTTTTGAATTGCCGCGATTGTAGTTATCGGATATTGGTCGTCACCATAAGCTCTCCTTTATCTAAATGCAATATAGTGCGCAAGTACATGATATTGATTGCATTGCAAATAATATAGAAAGGGTCTAACCAAGAAATTTATGAAGTGTTATCTTATATGAGTCATAAGGTACATGTATTGTATTGAAAATACTGTAGATATTTGTAGTATTTGCATGATTATGTACGAGATTGTAATTGATGAATAATCATTCGGTAATCATCAATAACTCTTTATTTTTTAGAATACCAACACTGATTTCTCTTCATCCATCTGTGAATTTATCAATCTCCCAAATGAACTTGGCATTCATATACAGTGCGCCTCAGAAGTGTCCGACCCCCCAACTTTTCGTAGATCATGTATAATGCACCAAATTTTTCCGAGCACAAAGAACGTTACAAATGCTGATCATGATACCTTTTATATTGATAGAGCTTCTATATCGGGGTATTATATGTTCATAAATTTTCAAGTCCCAAATATAATCAGTTATTCATAACATACATCTCGATATCCAATAATCTAATTTTTGACGTCCAGTGACCCGATTTGAACAAAAATAGGACCATTTGATTCGTATAGTCGAGACGAACTAAACAGTATATTTTTATTCAAATCAGGTCACTAGACGTTGAAATATTGCATCTTAAAGTAGCAGATTCATTTTTTTTGACACTAACCAAAATGAATCGACGACGATTCATTTTTTTGGCGATCAATTTCTAATGAAAAATTTATTGACAAATATGAATCGTTCAGACGTCTAGTGATCCAATTTAAGTGAAAATATCCCCGTTCTAATTGCCTAGTTTATTTGTCTAGATTAGGCAAATTGTATGGTATTATTTCTCACCCAAATTGGATCACTAGACGTCGAGATATTATATCCAAATGTAACTGATTTACTGTATTTGGGCATGAACGTTTATGAACATACAATACCCGATATAGAAAGCTCTACCAATCTATTAAAAGTATCATGATCAGCATTTGTAATGTTTCTTTGTGCTCAGAAAAATTTGGTGCATTACACATGATCTATGGATAGTTAGAAGGGGTCGGATAATTTTGCGGTTGACTGTAACAGAATTTATTGTCAATCCACTAGTGAGCAAGAGATTGATGAAGAGATTTTCTAAACAAATCCGAGGCTGAAATAATGGATTGGGAAGAAACGCTTCTGGTGAAATATTGAATTCTGGAAGATTGGATTTGTTACTGATGATGAGGAGGATAAAAAGTTTTGAGACAGATATAGAATGATAAAAAAAGTAAAAATGGGCAATAATTTTAACATTCTCACAATGTGCATATTTAAGTTTTTTTATTCATTCTTTAAATTCAGAGCAATTGCGATTATTTCTTTGTGAAATACTTGATTCATATCAATAAAATTAATTTGTAATTGTTAACCTGGCTTTCAATGTCAGTGTAGTAACATATGATAATGTATTAAGAGGACGCAGTTTCCGACAACCAAATGAAGAAATTTGTAAATAAAGTAGAAATCACGATATGGTCAAAATAAAATTATTCAAGTATTTGAAATAGGTGATAAAGTCTTGGTGAAATACATGAAAACTCAACATTGACATCATGAAAAATAAATGGAAAGGTTTATTTGTGAATTGAAATATGTGGCTGAAAAAGAATATTATTGCGCACTTCCAGGAGTTAGTGGATTTAAAAAGGCAAATACAACAAGGTAAGTAAAAGAACAAGACTGAGTTAGCTACAATTAAAGGGTTTCTTTATTGTTCTAAAGGTTTTCTGTTGCGATTTGTATGCAAATCGTCCTTTACTAATGTTAATTTATTTTAGTAGGGATGCAATGGAAGTTTCTGATCACCAGCAACAAAAAAAAGGAGAGTCTGAGCTAGACTACAAAGAAGTTCCGTGAAGATTTCTGATCACCTACAATACAAATGGTTCTGAGAAAGTTTCTGATTATCTACAACACAAGTACGTACATAAGTAGCAATTCAGATGGTTTCAGCTAATCAAAAACCATGAGATTTCTGTTAACCAACAACAAAAGCAAAGTATGAGGTAAAGGTCATTCACCATTTGTATGCAAGATTTGAAGATAATCAAATAAAGGAGAAAATAATTATTACGAGCAAAAAGGAATAATTACGGGTAAGAATTATTTTTATTTTATTTGATTAGAATATGATAATTAAAGACTGAGTATTCTGTCTTTATATGCAGTTTGATAATACTAACTCTATTTCTATACTATTATATTTTAATACTATAGTTTCTAAACAATAAGATCAAGTACAATATGATCGATATTAATAGAAATTTTCTGGGAAAGAAAAGAGAAATATGAGTCACCAGAAACATCGATTAAAAAGGGTTTATCGTTTGGGTTTTTCTCGCAAGGAATTAAAGGGTGCTGATAGTTATGGCAAAAATTAATAAAGTTAACGTTGAATAAACTTACGAGTATTCTCCAGTTTAAATTTTATGTTTCTTGGTTGACTATTAGTGGCCAATCAAATTTTTTGTTTCCTGCAGGTAACGGTAGCAGATCATATGTTGTATTACACATGTACATGTATAACTGCGCATAAAGAGAAGGTAAAATATATACATATATGTTGTATAACGATAATTTATCATTATCATCATTCATAAACAATGTCAAAAAGTGGAAAAGAAGTATTTCTTATATCCGATATTCTACAGATAATCTTTACGAGGCTAAAAAACCGAGATTTATTTTCTGTAATTCTCGTGAACCGTACTTGGTGTCGTATCGGAATTCCAATACTTTGGAAGGCGCCGTTTGGTTATCGGCCCACCGGATATTTCAATAAGAGATCATATTCCAATAAGAGATATGCAATCCGTACATACTTATTGCTTATTACTGAACCGTCACTTAACTATTTAAAGATGATTCCGTATTTGCCAAAAAACACCTTCTTGCCAAAGGATGCAGAAGAAACATATGCTAATTTGGGGATTATAGAGAAACCTTTGTTCGATTACATTTTATATTGTTCGACGTTTGACTATGGTGGAATGCTTCATGCAATTTTGGATTATTGCGAAACACTGAATTCTCTTTCTAAAAGAAAAACTGCCAAAATTATAATGAAAATTTTGCTGGAAATGTTCAAATCTCGCGGTCTTCAGTTCAAAAAAATGAGAGTGAAATATCAGCATCATGAGAACGATATTTCTTTATGGGCATCTCTTGAATATGCATCCTTATATTCAGAGATTGACACACTTGAATTGATTAGAAGAGATATTGATAAAAGAGACGTTTTGGCTGCATTGATTCCATTATGCCGAAAAATAGTAAATATGAATTTTCAATCTTTTTTATGAATTTCAATAACAATATAGAGGTATCCTCATTGAATTTATTTTGTTACAGAAACATTTGAAGATCACTATAAACTTTAGTCCTAATACACTAAAGGAACTTATTACACTCATCCGCAGTCAAACTAATCTTACCACAATCAAGATTTTTGGTCCGTTAGGAAATCATCAAAATTTACTATTGTCAGCACTTTGCACACAGAAAAATACAATTACCTCGATACATTTTTCTTATTTTCCTTTTGAAGGTTTTACAGATTGGTCCATCTTTCAAAAATTCACTCGATTGAAACTTTTGAAAATAGCAAATTTCTCAAGAACTCCTGATATAGGCACAATTAATAATCTAATGGGCGCTAAATGCGAGGTAAAAAGTACTATAATTTATGATACTTTTGGTTTGATGTTTGTATGGGAATTTGATTAATGATCAGCGTAGAGAACAAAGTGATACTTTCATAAACGGAGTTTTAGATAATTTTGCTAATAAATAGCATTTAAGTTTTCTATTTTGTTATTATATAAAATTATGTACAGTTGCTGTTTATCAGATTATATGATGATAGCATCGATTTATCATTTCGAGAATTATTTAATGTTAACTATTCAATGGATTTAAAAATTTTTGGATTTCATATTGTTTTGCTTGAATTCCGCTACAATTTTTTAATCAATCTAAAGCAACTTTTTACATTTTCGTGCGCTATCTTCATTTTTACAATATTTACTACTAATGTAGTTATATAATAAGTTATCAATATAACGGACTCTATAGAAATTTTTGAATAAATTTCTATGTTTATGCAACAAATTAACTGCTTATTCAATATTATCTTATTGCTGATAATACAATAAAGCGGGCTAGCTACCCATCTATTATCTGATTTTTTCCGCACCCAACGAGGCAGTCACTTTTTCTTTTAATAAGCCTACAATTATTCTGATTACTTATTTTACATATCTTTCAAAGTATTGGTATTGTTACATACATGTAATTTGTTAATCTCGTTGTAATCGATTGGTCTGACAAGCTACATTTGTGACAATTTAGCAATTTTGCCTTTTTGCGTAATCTGGATTATCTTAACCAATATATGTGCTATAATTAGTACTATAGTGTCAAGGAAACAGCAGAATTACTAAATAACTTACCCTTACTTCACCTATACAAGCATGGGGAACGCGTGCGTATTATGGGTTTTCATAAAGGATTGACGTAACAATATTGGATTGGTAATGAAATTTCTAGCTACGACTAAAGAGAGTTAGACTGTCAAGACTATTCTAACGAAGATTTTAAAGCCTGTGCCGATATTGTGGATATAAAGGTAAGGGTTTATCAATATAACTTTCAAAAGAAGAGAAACATGATTATTTTCGCAATTTTATTAATAAAATAACTAAATTAGCTCTTCAAAGTGAATTTTAGAATATAATAAAAGATAATTAAGATAATTCCAAAAGAATAACGCAATAATCATAATACAATGTTCAAAGGTAAGTTTCAATACAAACTATTACAAGATTGTTACTAACAAATCGAGATCAATTTTGTAGGACAAAACCATTTGTTGCAAAGTTTGAATGCATTAGGTATAATAAAAGGGATAGAGGTAATTTAACTTTATTTGTTAGAGAACATACATTTTCGTTGTTATTTAATAAATATGCTAGTTTATATTGTTAACACTTCGTAACAACATAATATCAAAACAAAATAATTGTCGAAACATAAGAACTACTATTCGAAAGGGAATAATCACAGAGGACTTGACATGATTATAAAGACTTTTGTATTTGAATGGTGGAATAAAAGTAAGATTAATTCCATTTTAATATTATCCTTGCTTTAGGATTAATCCTAATGATTTTATTATAAAGACTAACTACGTTTAATTGAACATTTTGGAAAATAACGGAGATTGCCTATTAATAACGTGGAATAAAAGAAAAACATATGGAAGATCTTATCTCGATAATATTATTATGGTATATATATGTGGTAACACATGTTGATACCGATACATTATTTTTTAATTAAAGTTTTTTCAAGTTATTCAATTAAATAAACTACGATAATACGTTTTATATATGAAACTGGGTTACACTATTTAGAAGCACTGGTCGAGTATTTTTTTGGTCAAAATTTAATTCAATCGATTCTTGCTTGCACTATATATTTTACATTATTTATGAGAAATTAACTTTTCTTCCTAATCTCTTTTATGTACAATTTTACTTTGCTTTCTCGGACAAATCTTTATATCAATTGGTGATATTTTTTAATTTAAAGGTAAAGTTTGACTTCGTAAATTTGTTCTTTAGAATTTAATATTAATCATATAAAATTTGATTTTAAAATAATTGGGTTTAAAAACTGTGCATCTAATTAAAGATTAGAATTTGTGTATTTGAGGATTATTATATAAATAATTTGTTATTTATTGATTATTAATATGTAGTAGATAAAGGAATTTTTTGATATTGTTATAAATGTACAAAAATCCTGAAAAAATCAATTTGTCGTATATAATTTTTAATTTACAAAGTACATACAAGGGAAAAGAGCTAGACTGGATGATTTAAGCGAAATGGGTTTCACTGGAGTTTTAAAGGTCTCCTGAGCTAATCTACGCGGAGATTGTACAATCAAGTACAAAAATAAAATATGAATAATATTTAATTTTAAATAACTAACAAAATATAATTTCATTACAAATAGCAAAATAACTATACAAATTTTACCTAATAGCTCAAATAATATTTATTTCAAAATATAACACGGGTTTCAACGAATAATTAAAATCAAAGAATCAAACACAATAAAGAATCGAACACGATTCATCAACTTTATATGTCAAAGAAATAAAACTTTCGATATGCTAAGAATAAAATTAATAAAGCTATCAATTTCGTTAAAGTATAAAAGAAATAAAAGCGGAAGCGGTGTTTGTTAAGATTTAAAAATAATTCTTAATTATTTTTTTAACCACACATTGATTTGCCTCTTAGTATTTGGAGAGCCATTATTATATGTAATTTGGCTTCTATATAAATATCTAGACTACAAATCGTAAGAATTTGCGGGTCACTAAGTATTAAAAGTATGAATAGGTGTAAGAATGTTTACAGGGCATGGTTATACTTCAAAACAAAGAATAATGATATAATTAAGTGTAATTAATAAAAAAAATAGAATAACTTCTATTATGCATAGCACAAAATGTGAATTTGTAGGAATTTTGTAATTATTTCTATGGATCAAGAGAATAACGTACGATTCAAATATTTATGGGTTTCAGCTGATAGTCATATTCTTGGGCGCGCAAAAGTAAGAATTTTTGTAAGAAATTCGTGATACTGGAGAAGACAATGTTGATACCAAGAGAAAGAATTTTGCAAAACGATATCAATGTTGATGCTACAGATGATATGGGGCAATAAGAATAAATATAATTTTTTTCGAAACACATTACTAATTAGGTATACAAGATTAAAAATCTTCTCGCATCGTTCCAGAATTTTCGCTCTCGCGTTCCGATGGCAACAATATAAATCTGACCAAGCCGATTGCACAACGTAAACTGAAAAAATCATAAGAATTTTACTAATAACTAACCTTCAAATGTTTGACGCAAAATTTATATATAATACTATCTTTATTTTAATGAAGTTTCAAGTAATCTGATAACATTACTTTACTTTAGCGATCCTCCAGGAAATGATTATCTCAGAACCAACAGACATGTAAAGATAATACTTGCCGAAGTCAGTTCAATGAAAGTCGGAAAATAAGAATCGATCAATCATTCCATTTAAAGATATTATCACAGGATTAACCGTCAACTACCTTTGAAAAAATAATTTTTGATGCTGTTACTGTATACCCTACGGGAAAAATATGTCAGGAATTTTACGTGAAGTGTAAGCAATTTCTCAACAATGTGTTATGAATAATTCCATATGCAATTGGTCGTGAATCCCATATAAATTACATAAAATTTTGGATACAGTTACATACACAACCCTGAAAATTACAGACTAGTAAAAATTTACAAATGCATTTCTTATATATCCATTATCTTTAGATATGACTAATATCTAGCCTATTCTATGCCACTCTTACCACAGAACACGTTATGTTTAATCAAATGTTTCAGATTGTTCACACTCAAAGCTTCTGCAGATTCTTGTAAAGTTATTTTCTTGCCAGATACTGTTAGAAAGTATAAATCATTAGCATTTAATTAAATATAAACAATACAGATTAGGTTCTTCAACTTACAAAGTCCTAATATTTTCCTTTGATAAGCTGGCAATAGTTGTTAAGTTTTTTCAATTTGGACTTGACTATCTTGAAAATGAAATTTTCTTTTTTCTTGGATAGGTGCCAAAGGTAAATTTGATAAACATTATCAATATAAGAATCAATAGCAAATTTATTAAATCAAAAATAATATATTACTTTAAAGTTTTTTTATCATTTTTTCTGATATTATGAAGAGAATTTGATCAGATAATTCCAAATAACATAGCTTAAAATAATACAAAGGCAACTCCGTTATACCAAAGTGGACAGTGTTATTAGTAAAAATTTTAAAAATTCGGTTTATCCGAGGTTTCATTAGTAAATTAGGTTTAGCAAAGTAAATTTACTATAATTGATCCTGGCGCTATCTTCGGTTGTAATTAGTGCTTCGGTTAAACGGGGTTGACTTTGTATTATGCATATACTGTTTACTTTAAATATGAAATAATATGCAATAAATTAAATTATATTTGATAGGTCATTAGAGCTTTGCTTGGTATCTTTAATAAATAATATCACAAAATATTTACATACCTATAGGATTTGATAGGTCATTAGAGCTTTGTTTGATATTTTTAATAAATAATGTCATATTAATTTAAAATTATAACAAGATATTTTATTATCAAAATCTTTTGAAGAGCAGAAAGTAAAAAAGCAACAGAAAGAAACTTTCTTTATATTAGTATTTGATATAATATTTCAATGAAGTTTAAAGTTTGAAAAGTGTGATTAAAAAGTGTATGTTATTAAAAGAAACACATAAAATTTAATCTGATTTGTTTATATTACCAAATTATTAAAATACAAAATCCTGAATGTAGATATCTCTAAAATCACAACATTTCCATTACAGTGAGATTAAATATCTTAGTTTTTTCTTCTATTTCTTTTCAATATACTAATCTTTGATCTGCATTATCTCTCATTTATATTATATTTTGCTATTTTATTATTATTAAATATACTAAACTTTGATCTGCATTATCTCTCATTTATATTATATTTTGCTATTTTATTATTATTAAACTAAGTTAATTTTATTTATTTATCTGTTACTTGTTAATTCAAAGATTAGTATCTATTTACATCATTTTTATATTTCCTGATAACGTATGTATTATGTTCATATTGTATATGCATTCCTAGCATATTTCAAACAAAGTTTGTATTTCTTATGCATCC